TCTGCCCCTCCCCCGCTCACACTGTGTCTCTCTCTGTCTCATAAATAAACAAAAAACATTAAAATAAATAAATAGACGAATGGAGAAGACGAGATGTTTTCCTTGGTGACTGACAGCAGCTCAATAAAGCTAGCGCCACCTCTCCCTCTTCCTCAACAAATGGCACACTGTCGGCTGTTTGCACTAGAGGGTGGACAGAGAGGATTGATTGCAGCCAGACTGACCAAACGTCATTGCCATTGGCCACCCAGGAACAGCTGGGCTATCTAGAATATCTCCTTATGCGGCCGGCATCTCTGGAGGTGCCTTACCGCACAGTGCATTCTGTTTGCCTGGCAAGACCCAGGTGCTGCCTTTTCAACAAGCATGTGTTGAAAACTTTCTTTGGTGGAGCTGATGGAGACCTTTGCTTTCATCGCTGCCTGAGTTACCACCAGCAACTGCTGCAGGGACCAGGTAGGTAAAACCACTACGTGAAGTGGGAGCTGCGTGAAGTGGGCAGAGGGGATTGCGGAGTGGAGAGACTCTGTCTAAAGGGAGTAGCCTCTCCTGAGTGCCCGTAGATTTGCCACCAAGCGGGAGGAATATGGGCCCTAGAGCCCCATCTTCATAATTTTCCAGAGACGATGGGGAATCCAGATTGGTGTATGAATCTCCTGATTTCAACATCAAAAATCCTTTACATATTCTGTGGACCAGATCTGGCCCATGGGTCAGTTTTGTTTAACTTGGTGAAAGCCTGCCATGTGCTGTGACTGCAGCCTGGCAGGTGCCCGTGGGAAAGATGAGAGGACACCTTTCGTATGAACGGACCGCTGCAGCCCAGGGTGATCTGGATGAAGTGCCATTAACAGAGCGAGTTCCCTTGTCTCCTCTTACCTCCTTGAGGGTCCTCTGCCGAAGGTAGTTTATCACCCAGGCGGCAAAGCTCCGGTGCTCACAGAAACTGACACTGGGCTAGGAATTCCTGGCTCTGAGTCTTACATCTGAGAAGATACTGGTGATGCTGGTGACCACTGGAATTTTCTGAACTCGGATGAGTGAGCTGAGAACCAGAGGGCCGGGAAGAGAAGGGGCTCCTCACTCTAAGCTCAGGCTGCCAGTACACCCTGGACCTCACTCAGACCCAAGCCTCATCTTCAATCACTTCACATGTGGAAAAGAACCTACCCATGCACTCACCTTCCTCCCTAACTGCAGCCAGTCCCCTTCGCTCCCCCATAATTGCCTCCATTATGTGGGTGTGGCTGCGGGTACTGGCCTTGGTGGGTCTCCTTGGTGTCAGCACCAAAACTGAAGCTTAATTATTGGCAGGAGAGCCCACAATTCCTCTCTCATCCCCACCTCAGTGGGCTGTACATCAGGCGATCAGCCCAAGCCAGCCTGTGGCCCCAGCACAGCTCACCCTCCGAGGCCAGTCAAGGACACCCCTCAGTGCGCTGGGGATGGTGGAGGGAGCACAGAGGGGCAGGTAAGACTCTGAAGTAGCTAGACAGGGTAGGTTTCCCCCACTTGCCATCCCACTGTCAGTGCTGCTGGGCCCGAGTGAGTCCCCAACTCATCCTGAATTTGATTTGCTCCCTCCTGAGAATTGTCGGGATATTAGCAGGTATTTGTCAACTCCTGGTGTCTTGGGAGCGTATTTCTATGGAACAGGGGTAATACCCATCTGCAGAGGGGAGCAAGGCTCCCCCTGAGAACCTAGGACTTACCCAGGGCCATCTTGGGAGGCAAGGACAAGCCCATGTCACCAGCCCTGTCCAGAAGCTTTCCTAGCTCTTGTTTAAGACAACTATGGCTTGTCTGCAGCTGAGAGTATTTATATGGTAGCAATAATAATAGTTAACACACAGCCCTTACAATGTGCCTTGTTCTGTTCTAGAGATTTACCTGTAGATGACCTTAATCTTTACAAAGTACTGTCATTTTCCCCACTTTACAGATGAGCTGGCAGGCTCAGAGGTTAAGTTTAAAGTAGCTTATTTAATATTTGGGAGGAAAGGCTAGAAACTGTCGTCCCAAATTTAAGGCCCTTGTAATTAAAGTATGATTTTTTTTTTTTTTTTTTTAAGTAAGCTCCACGCCCAATGTGGGGTTGAACTCAGGACAGTGAGCTCAAGGGTCGCACACTCTACCAACCAAGTCAGCCAGGTGCCCCGAAGGCACTTGTTAAAATGGTTGGTGCAACTAAAATTGATTGGGTCTCAACTCAGATTTCTTCTGAACTTATCTATCCTTTAAGAAACTAGTATTCTAGGGGCGCCTGGGTGGCTTAGTCGGTTAAGCGTCCGACTTTCGCTTAGGTCATGATCTCGCAGTTCATGGGTTCGAGCCCCGCGTCGGGCTCTGTGCTGACTGCCAGCTCAGAGCCTGGAGCCTGTTTCAGAGTCTGTGACTCCTTCTCTCTCTGACCCTCCCCTGCTCACGCTGTCTCTCTCTCTCTCCTAGAAATAAAAAAAATAATAAATAAATAAATAACTAAAAAGAAAAACAACTAGTATTCTAACTAGCAGTAACTAAACGGCGGCTCTGAGCAGGACCCTGGAAAACGCTATCCACCTTTACTTCTAATCCTCTCCACAACCCTCTACAGAGGTGATACTCCATTTTATAGGTGCGGGAATGGAGACTCGGCAACTTCACAAGGCAAATGCAGAACTAGATGTGTCCATCTCTAGAAGTTCCGCTGTTGGCACCAACCGTTCAGAGGGCAGGCGTCGGAAAACAAGCTGCACATCTGGATTCTCATTTTTTAAAGAAACCTGCAGGTGAGTCCTGAACTTAGCCCACGTGCAGCCTCAGTGGTCCGGGCTTTCTGACTGCCCTGGTCACTGTCCAGGGCTTGCTGCACGGAGGAGGGGCCTCCCAGCCCCCGGGCCTTTTCATCACGCGCTCTCACACAGGTGAACACACACATGAACTTGAACACAGCAGGCACTTGAAACATCTCATCAGATGAGTGACCCTAGTTTCCAGTGGCTCCTTAATCAGAAAATTCAAGGAACCCAAAACATCCATTCCCACGCATTCTCATTACACGAATATTTTCTGCGAAAACCCAGTGTTAACACTGTTAAATAATTTGATGTGAAAATCATGTTCATGTTATTCCCAATTAAAATCTGGCCCTGTGAGATCCTGCCAAAGGTGAAGGGTAATGAAGATGCTGGTGCCCGAATACATTCTCGGGCACAAGAAGTTACATTACACGGTCTTCATTAAAAGCCTCAGGGCCCAAACCCTAGAGAGAGATCAGTTGCTGTTAAAACCAAGCTCTGAACAAGGAGGCCAAGCTAAACATTGGCAAAGTGGTTGGATTGTGAAGTCGTCAGTTGGGCCTCAGCCCCATACAGTCTTTGGACTCCTCAGTGGCCTTCCATGGAAGAAAATTTTAAAGTTGGAAGGGACATTAACCACCACCCCTCATTTAGGTTATGAAGATTAAAGCCTAAAGGCATAGAGGGACTCAGGACCACATGAGTGTAGCATCCAGACTTCTGACTCTTGGCCGGGATCCTACTACCCACACTGTGCTCTGAGCTCCTCCTGCCCTGCCCTTGCCATCTCAAGTCTTTGGGGGCACCTGGCTGGCTCAGTCAGTTAAGCATGCAACTCTTCATCTTGGGGTTGTGAGTTCAAGCCCCGCCCTGGGTGTAGAGATTACTTTACAAAATTTTAAGGTTAAAGGGGCACCTGGGTGGTTCAGTTAAGAGTCTGACTTTGGCTCAGGTCATGATCTCACGGTTCATGGGTTCGAGCCACACGTCAGGCTCTACGCTGACAGCTAACTCACAGCCTGGAGCCTGTTTCAGATTCTGTGTCTCCATCTCCCTCTCTATCTGACCCTCCCCTGCTCTCTCTCTCTCTCTCTTTCCCTCTCTCTCAGAAATAAATAAAAATATTTTTTTACTTTGTTAAGGTAAAAATAAAACCTGAAAATAATTTATGCCTATGTATTTCCCTTGCCAGAACTATTTTCATAGATAACAGTATTTAAGCCAAATAAATGACTCTGAGTCTGAAATTTGCCAGAATTTACCAAAATTATTACAGAAAACAGCCACAAAGGGATACTTTTTTTGGGAGGGGGCAAAAAATATGGTTTTAATTCACAAGAGAAGAGAAAGACTAATCACATAATAGGATTCTTTACCCTAGCCTTCAGGGTTCTCATCTGTGCCAACAGTGGGTAATGAACAATTCAGGGAACCCCATCACCAACAAGGTGTAGTGGCCCAGGTGACGTCCCTGCTTCTTCCAGTGAATTAGCTCAGTCGAGTACAGATGAGCAGCACGGATGGTCCAGGCTGTGAGTCCTGGCCTCAGTTTCCTCCTGTGCTCGCTGGTCCCAACTCCTCTGGCAGGGCCCAGCCCACCTACCCAGACTGCAAGAGGTGACGCTGGAAGGAGCCTGGCAGCCACTAGGCACCAAAACCTTTCACGTTGGAACACCAGAAACCCAGAGGTGACAGCGCAAAGATGGGATGCAAATATAGCCAAGGATTTGTGTCTTCCAGGCCCCACCCTGAGCCATGGTGTCAGGAGGCCACAACTGACGTCACATGTCTGCCTCTAGGCCAGTCAGCAATGGCCAGCAGCATTGGGGGCGGTCTACTTCACAGGTAGAGAAGTGAGTGGGATGCTAGTGCACCTAGTGTTGACTGCCATCATTTCTACCCAAGCTGTGACAACCAAGGGACAGTGAAGCTGGGATCCTAACATCCTCCCTGCTGCCTCACGCTGCATCTACCAAAGAACCCTCTTAGGTCTTTGAATGTCTTGAGTCAGTAAACTAGGAGGTCACTGAGGTAACAGTATGCCCCATCTGCCCAATTCCACTGTCCCAATAACCTCACAGTGTTTGAAAGCAACTTTATTGAGATAATTTACATGCCAGTCAGGTAATCCATTTTAAAGTGAGCATCTTGGGGCACCTAGGTGGCTCAGAAAGTTGGGCATCGGACTCTTGATCTCTCAGCTCAGGTCTTGATCTCAAGGTCCTGAGTTCAATCCCCACCTTAGGTGTGGAGCCTATTTGGGGAGAGAAAAAAAAAAAGTGAGCAGCTCAACAGTCTTTAGTATATTTACAAAGTTGTGGGATCATCACATAATCTAATTTCAGAACACTCTCATCATCACCCCCAAAAAGGTTATTTTTAATACCCCAAAAAAGAACCTGAAGGTTATATAAAAGATACATGTGATGAAATAAGAAAATGGGAATGAGAAATCAAGACCAAAGAAAAGGAAGCGACACATTTGCCAGGGTGGAGCCGACCTTGGTGATTTGATGAAGGCTCCCATGTAGCTCTGCTCTTGACCAAGAAGTTCTGTTACTAGAAGAAAGGAACACATCATCAGTTACTCAAAAGAAACAAAGCACTAAGTACTTTTTTTTAAGTTTGAGGGAACCCCCAAGTTATTTTACATTCAACATCTGCTACATTTTTATACCCAACACAATAGCTTTGATTACTTCCTTAGGCTTTTAAAGCCTTGAGCATTATTTCAAAACACCTCAATTTTGAAGGTATTCTGGGAGAAGCTAAACTAATGTGGCATTTAAGTGTTTATTCACAGATCATTAACTACCCAAGGAAAGGGCAGGCAAGAGATGAGTACAGTGAGCTGAGAGGTAAGTACAGTGAGCTGTGGTCAATCAGTGAGCCACATGAAATGGCCCCTTCCCAGTTCTTGAAGACCTGCAGGGAGTGGGAGGAGCATTAAGGTCATTGGTCTTAAGGAAAGTGCTTTGCTATTATGAATTCTGCCTTCCCTTTCCCGTCTTCCCTGCCTGCCCATCACCATCCACCACCACCCCCACCACCCCAATCTTGGAGGATCTGGATTAAGAGGACAGAAGGTAGTTAGCTGTCTACAAGGCAGACCATACCGCCACCTCAAACACTGTGGGTCCTGGAGCTTGGAAGAAGGTGGAGTTGAACTCAAGTTTGAGATCAAAGCTTCAAGGAAGTCTGGACTTAATGATGAACCATGTTCATACAATTATGGAATTCACTCAATATGTAATTAAGGAACCAAAACAGAGTCAACAGAACGTGGTCAAGGTAGTGACTGCCGAAAATAAGCACACACCATGTTCAGACTCGCCAGGGCGAGATGCCTTTGCCTTTGTAAAGAGAGAAGATACTTGAAACTTGTGGATTTGGGGCGCCTGGGTGGCATTCGACTCTTGATCTTGCCTCAGGTCATGGTTTCATGGTTTGTGAGATCAAGCCCGTGTCAGGCTCTGTGCTGACAGTGCAGAGACTGCATGAGATTCTCTCTCTGCCCCTGTCCCCCCCCCCACCACTCCCCACTTTTGAAATAAACTGGATGGCTTAGTTGGTTAAGCATCTGACTTAGGCTCAGATCATGATCTTGCAATTCATGAGTTGGAGCCCTGCATCAGGCTCTGTGCTGACAACTCAGAGCCCAGAGCCTGCTTTGGATTCTGTGTCTCCCTCTTTCTCTGCCCCTCCTCACTGGTTCTCTCTCTCTCTCTCTCTCAAAAAGTAAACATTAAAAACAAAATTATAAACTTTTTTAAAAAGTCTGTTTCTTGATTTAAAAAAAAAATAACTTGTGGGTTCATCAGTGGCAGTAAAGGGATGGATCTGTTTCCCCACAAGGGGCACCTCTGTCTGCCTCTCCCCTCCCCCATAACTTCCACAGGAAGTTGTCCTTGCTCCCCTGGTCGTAAAGGTTTCTGGCCCCCATTCAACCTTCCCAGAATTGCTGAGGAGGCAGAAGACTGGCTCCCAGAAGCTGGGGACCTCCAGCACAGGGCAGGGAGGATGCCGCTGGGGGATAGAGGACACATACAGGAGACACTCCAGAAGTATCTGTTGATGGGCTAGGCAGGGGCCATGGGTGAGAAAAAGGGGCCTTCACTGCCACATCCATCACTATCCCCAACACCTGCTGCCTTTTCTTCCACCCAGCATCTCACCCTGAGAAACCCGTGGAACCAGTGCGGGGGGAGGCCTGGAAGGTTCCGGTCAAGCTTCAGCCAACACTTAATAGCATAGCTTTGAGAACCCTTGCTTGCATGGGACAGATCCACCAAAAAAACCCCACAGCCCACCAGCCCTACCCCTAGTTTTAGCTTTCCAGTATTTGCTGTTTGAGAAGAGACACATCCCCTATGAATCCAAAGTTCTTCAATTAATTTGCAGTTTGTTCACAACAGCCTTTACAGGTATTTAAGAAGCTGTGTGCACGTGATCTGAACAATGCCTAGGTCACAGCTCAGGAGCTGAGGGAGATGCAAGCCACCCACGCTGGGGCAAGGAAGCAGCTTCAGCATAAAGTGACTTCACACAGTGACAAGGCATCTGGTCCAGCCCCCATCTAAGGCTGCCACCCACCCCAACACCTTTGCTGGAACATCTCTGGGGACGGAGAGCTTGCCCATCCTAAGTCACAGCCTGACTGACCAGTAAGGAAGTTCTGGGAGACAATCTGCCTCTCTGTAAAGCCTGCCCTGGGCCTCTGTGGTCACAGAATTGTGAAGGTCCCCATTCCTCCAGGAATGGAAAACAGCCTTCAAGTTCCCACCCAAAACTTTTCACAACCAAAATCTCGGGTTCCAACTTTTCCTGGAGATCGGTTGGCTGTTTCCAAATATAAAGTGGACAAGATTTCCTGAATGACCCTCCCAGTGAAAATCAAAAGAGCTGAATTTTAAAATCCTTTAGTTTATTTTTTTGTAATCTCTACACCCAACATGGGGCTTGAACTCATGATCCTGATATCAGGAGTCACATGTTCTTCCAACTGAGCCAGCCAGGCCCTCCTAAAATACCTCTTTATTTTTTTAATATTTATTTTTGACAGTGAGAGAGACAGAGGTGAGCAGGGGAGGGATAGAGACAGAGGGAGACACAGAATCCGAAGCAGCCCCCAGGCTCTGAGCTGTCAGCACAGAGCCTGATGCGGGGCTCAAACTCACGAACCCTGAGATCATGACCTGAACTGAAGTCAGGACACTTAACCGACTGAGCCACAGAGCAATTATGTAATCCACAGAACATGTGGGTACCCGAAATTTCATTGGTCCCAACTCTGATGCAGACCCTCTGAAGATGGTACCAGACCCTGACCAAGGCACAGACAGCCTACTCACCTCCCGTGACTGGCTGCTGTCCCTCCCTCAGTGCCATCTCAGGTGAACGTGCAGTCAACCAAAGTCACCAGATCTTTCTCCCTTCATTTCAGTAGTCTGGTCTCCTCCATTCTTACCCTAGTACAACTGAGGTTTTTTCCTCACCTAAGCACAGGGCTTTCACCTCTCCAGATACCAGCTTGCTGCTTCTAACTGATCACTCTACCCTGGGAGCTCTTGGCCTCCGCTCTATTGACACTTGAGGTCCATTACTCTGTTGTGTCCTATGCATTGCAGGCTCTTGAACAGCATCCCTGACCCCCACCTACTGGAGACCAGAAGCAACCCCCACCTCCAGTTATGAAAATCAGGTGTCTCCAGATATTGCCAGATGTTCCCTAGAGGGGCAAACCTCACCCCCCCTCATTGAGCTTGATGAGGAACCATCAGGCAAGCTAAGGGTAAAGCACAAGTCAGTGTGCATGCACACACACACACACACACACACACGCGCGCGCGCGCGCGCCAAGGTGGGATATTTGTGATATTCCTCAGGCACTCCTAGCTGCCCAATAACAAAGGAAAGATATCAAATGGTTAACTGAGAGATCACAGTCATACAGGACAAGAGTCTCCACCAGTTTACAAACATCTAAGTAAATTACCAGAAAAAGGCAATCTTCTCAATAGCTTAATCTCCAGGAACCTGTAGACCCAGTTTCCTGGAGTCCCTGACATCACCCCTCCATAGTGACATAGTGACGTAGGGAAAAGGCAAGAAGGAAATGGCAGGGAAAATTCAATCTCTTTAGAACCTGCAGCCCATTGACAAGCTTGAGGCAAATACAGAGTGTAATGTTTCTCCAGGAACCCCCTGCCATCCTAATGTTAATGCCTTACTAGAGGAAAAACCACCTTAGCTTGACAATAGCAAGGCCTCCGGTATCTTAGGAGTCCTCTTTAGCAGATCAAAGTCCCTCTGGAGGCCTCCCTTTTGCCTTTACCTCCTCCCAGTCCCATAGTATATAACCAGTCACTCTTCACAGCCTCAGCACAGCTCTTCCTGCCCACAGGTCCCGTCCCCATGCTTTAATGAAATCACCATTTTGCACCAAAGATGTCTTCAACAATTCCTTCTTGGCCATCGGCTTTGGACCCCACGAACCCCACCATCACCCCAAAACCACTGTTCTGTACAGACCTGGTTGTATCAGCCACATGCCGTATCCTGGTGGCAAATGGCCACAGAGAGAACAGGATCCTACCTTGGCACTGACATCCTTCAGCCCGAACACAGACCGAGGGGCACGTCCCAGGCTTCTCCATCTCCCCTACTCTTGCCGTCACATGACTCTGGCTTGTTCCTTCTCCAGGAGAGGCAGCTGCCTGCTTCTCTCCCAGACCCTCTCTAAGACTCAGCTCAGGCGCTGCCTTGAAAGCCCACAGGCTCCCGGCTGCCCCCGGGGGCCACTCCTTGCTCCAGGCCCCGCACCTCGCACCATCTGACTGCTTGTGCCTGCCTCCTGTCCACACTGCCCCACCGAGGTCTCCATCAGCCCGTGTGCCTCCAGCAAGCCCAGGCCTGCCCCATTAGCATCCAACGGGGTGATCAGTCAATTCATAACACCTGACTTTTCTCTGCATTAAGGCTGGTTTTCACCAGAAACCTGTCACACATGGTTTCCATGGACATTGTGCTCTGAAAGCTGTCAGACCTAGAAGAGGTGGGGTCCCTGCCATCTCAGTCAGTCCTCAGGGCCCTGATCCCAGGGCAATACGTCCCTTTGACCTTGGGGGGGTGGGGGCCCTAGGGCAGGGATGGGGCATCATGAGGATCTTTTTACGTTTGTGGGGAACTGGGGCTCTGGAGGTGACCAGGATGGTAGAGGTGTCCAATATCACACAGAGCTTGATCGCACACGGATCAGTCCCTACAGGATTCCAGGACCCCTCCCTGTCCCATGCCAGGCACCTACCATGTGGTCCCAGGCACACAAGTATGAGTGAGACAGCCTGGCCCTCAAACAGCTTTCGGCTGATGAGGAAACAGACCCACCAGCAGATGCTTCCAAGGCAGAAGACAGCCAGGGTCAGGCCCAGGAAAGACTGTGCCCTGGGCACTGAGGCAAAGGGCTAGACATGGACTCCACTGAATCTCCTAGTGGAGCATGAGAAGGGGGCAGACAGCCTGGTAGAACCAGTCACACGAGGTCCCAAAAACCAGGTAAG